GGAGGAGGAGATGGAGGAGGAGATGGAGGAGGAGACGGGGGAGGAGATGGAGGAGGAGATGGAGGAGGAGACGGGGGAGGAGGAGATGGAGGAGGAGATGGAGGAGGAGACGGGGGAGGAGATGGAGGAGTGAAATCACGGAGAAGCTCATCATGGAGAACCCAGTTTGGCTCCACAGGACTTCCCTGTCCCTCTGGGGTAGCCCTAGAACCCCAAGCATGTCCCCTCTTCATTCCAGCAGGTGATCGGGCTCCCCTACACCAAGGAAGGGAGGTGGTTGGTTGGTCTCTTCCCAATGGGCGTCTTGGTCCTTCGCTCTGTTTTCTTCCACTGAATTTCTCTCTGTCTCTCTCTGTCTCTGTCTCTGTCTCTGTCTCTGTCTCTGTCTCTGTCTCTCTCCCTCTCCCCCCACCAGCCCCTGGACACAGCTGCCGACCTCCTAAGCAGAGTCTCCCGAGTTCCTCACAGACCCCAGCACAGGCCCGTCACCAAAGCCCCCTGTCCCAGAGCACAGAGCAGGAGCAGCTGGGAGCTGCAGAATCCACCCTTGCACCTGCCACACCCTCCCGGCACCCACATGAGGACATACCTTGCGTGCCCCCGTAGCTGTTATAGCCACCGCCTCCTCCTGTCCCTCCGCCTCCTCCTCCTCCTCCTCCTCCTCCTATTCCTCCTCCTCCTGTGGGACAGACAAGGTGCGTTTGTGGGGCAGGCATATGAGGGGGCCTGGGGTCTCATGCCCCTCCTTTGCCCAAGCTGGTGTCAAACTTGAGATCCTCCTGTCAGCCTCCTAACAGAGCCTGAGTTGCAGGCCTGCAAAACTGTGCCTTGCTTTAGTTACTCTTTATTAAGAAGTAGTGTTTTATATTTTTCCCCGGTCATGGCTATGGTATACTCTAAGACAAAGCTCTTTATTGCATGTAAACCTTGCCGAAAAAATACACAGTGTCTCAGTGTCAATGTGTACATATATGTAAAGGTAGGAAGCTGTAACCATACACCTATACATGTGAAACTTGTATATGCACATAAACACATACAAAGAAATATGCATACATATACAGGTGCAATATATTTTTCCATACAAATATAAGAATAAATATAAAGAGAGGTACGTGAATACATACAAGAGATATGCATATGTGTGCACAGAAAATATATGCATACATATAAAAATATCTCTTCAGATGAATAAAAGTACACATGCATATCTGAAGCCATTTATATAGCCAGATGTGGTGGCGCATGCCTGTGATCCCAGCATTTGGGAGACTGAAGCAGGAGGATCGCTGTGAGTTCAAGGCCAGCCTGGGTTTCATCGTAGGTTCAAGGCCAGCCTGAAATGCATAGAATGACCCTGTCTCAAAAAACAAACAAAGCCATTTATATACCATATAAACATATGAGTACACAGAGTACGAAAAAGTATGCACATGTACAGCCTAAATATATATTTAGATGCAAAGTTATATGTGTCTTCATCGTACATATGTAAAGGTACATATATCCATATATGTGCATGTATAAATGTATATGCGTAGGTATGTCTACACACATGGAGCTGGATGTATGTCTATACACACCTACACAAATGTATGGATAAAGATGTTTTTAACTGTATAGGGAAATAAGGCATATACGGATATAAAGATATCTGCAGATACAGGATAATATGCATCCATATATTTATAAAGGCCTATATACACATATAAAATACATATACAAAGCCGTACATGTATGTATACATACAGAATATACAGACTTCACTACATAATAAATATATAAGACAATGTTTCATAAAGATATACATATATTCATATAATGGTAAATATATATAAAGGTATATGCTATGTATTCATGTATATATATGGTATAGTAAATGTATATGTGCACATATATATATATAAAAGGCATGCACGTACATAAAGATATGATAATGTATATTGTTTTATAAAGGTATATATCTACATAGCAAAATGTACATATCCACACATAAAAGGTGTATATGTATATAAGTGTACATATATATAAAAGGCATGTATATATAAAGATATATATGCGCTTATTAGGATATATGTAACAAAATATACATTCACAGATATAAAACTATACACTTATGTATGTATACATAAATGGCATGTACAAAGGCACATAAATATATATTTGTATTATAAAGATGTATATATATATATAGTGATTATACCTATCCGTGTGTGTATATATATATATAAAGCTTGTGTATACATTTCTGAAAATATATGTTTGGCAAAAAAGTACATTCATATAAAAATTATATGTATAAATATGTAAATGTATATATCTTTGCTTGTTTGTGTATATATAAAAGGCTTGTATATACCTATATGCAGATAAATATGTATAAATATATTATATATGTATATGTATAAATATGTATGTGTTTAATCAACTATATATACACAAAAATTATACATATAAATATGCAGAGTATATGTCTATGCATGTGTTTATGTATAAAAGGCTTCCATATACCTATACAAAAATGTATATTATGTATGTGTATACATATATAGAGCTTGTGCATACATAGCTAAGAATATATGAATATACCTGTGTGTTACCAAAAAAGACATACATATAAAAATGTGAAGGTGTATATATGTATGATTGTTTGAGTATACATAAAAGGGTTGCACGTACATATGGAAGGATATATAATATGTTTTATAAAAATATATATACACAAAAGGTATACAAATAAACATGTAAAGGTAAATACCCATGTATGTGTGCATATATATAAGGCCATGTACTGTAGATAGATATGTATGTGTGTACTTGTTTTATGCAGATATATACATAAACACACAAATTCACACGTGTACAATATATACTTGTGTGTGGGGGGGTGTACAGAGTCCACCAAAACATGTGTGCAGTTTTCAGGAGCAGACAAACTCGCACCAGTATCTCAGGGCCACATTTCTCGGGGCATCGTGAGATTCAGGCTCGCCTTGGTGCCCAGCCGTGCCCAGCTTCCGGGCAGAGATCACAGCTGCTGGGGTTCACGCGCTCTTTGTTGGCGGGCTCTGTGTGCGTGTGAAAGGCGTGTGCAGCACATGACAAGACACACGTGACATCTCAGTGCTCTGTACACACGCGTTAGAGACCCACATGCACAAATGCACAGGCAAAGTGTGCGTGTGAAGCTGCTGCGTGCACGCACTCCTGGATCCGGAGCCCCCGGCTTCTCCTGCCTCAGTGTCCCTCCCGCGCTGGCCCCCGTGGCCCCGTCCTGCCCTGGGTTGGCCCCCACCTACCTGCAGGCGGCTTGGGCCGGGGCGGCTGGTACCCTTCATCCTCGTTGTTCCAGTGTCCTGCGGGGAGACCACACAGCAAGGTCACCTGCCCCGCGCACATACCACGCACGCGCTGCTGCCCCAGGCCCTTTGCACAGGACGTGCCATTGCCCCAGCGGCCCTCTCCAGCACCCTGGCCTCTCCCGGCGGCGGTGGCCTGCTGCATCTTTCCTGGACACCCAGGGACGTGCGGGACCAAAGTCCTGGAGTCCTGGGAGGCCGGTGGGGTGGCTGGGTGTCCTGCATCCTGGGACCAACACAGCGTGCCCTGCATCCTCCTGGGTGAAGACTTCTCAGCCCCCTAATGCCTGGCCTTCACGCAGCCACTTCTCCCATGCCACGCACCACAGGGACTTTGCACGTGCCAGCCTTGCTGACTTCTCCTGTCCATCCTTTCCTCCTCAGTTTCCCTGTCCTGCCCTGACTATTGTCCATCCTGAGGACACTGCTGACCATGGCACTGACCCTAGCTGAGCCCCCAGCCCAGATCCGAGCTCCCTGACTCCCACTACTTTTTATTTCTGCTCCTTGATCTCCAAAATATCATCATGCCCCTTCCTGTCTCTGCCTACACCCCAGGGCCAGGAGTAGGTGACAACCGGGGTGTCCAGGGGACCACGTTTAAGAGTCCTTCATGGCCCCAACAGCATCCCACATATTGGTCCCTTTTTTGCAAGTGTGCCTTACTGGGGATTGACCCCAGGGCCTTTGCACTGAGCTCCATCCCCAGCGCTTTAATATTTATTTATCTTGACACAGGGTCTTGCCAAGTTGCTAAATTGCCCAGGCTGGGCTGGAACTTGCAAACCTCCTGTCTCAGCCTCCCAGAGTGCCGGGATCGTCATGATGAGAGATTCAAAGGCGGGGACTTTCAGAAGCAATTGGAGATGCGTTGCTCTGCAACTTACTGCATCGGTGGATGGATTGACTCCTGCAGGCGTCATATGAATGGGCCCTTGGCTATCTCAGGAGCAGATCCATCCATCGCATGGTTCTACTTTTCACCTTTCCTGCCCATGGGCTCCCATTAGCAGTTTTTTCACACTTTTGCCCCAATACCTTAAGCTGAGAGCACCAGGAGCTGCCCCAGGACCTTTGGACCTGACACTCTTGTTTCCGCTCGTGGGCATACACAGCGTCTCTCACCCTATGATGCCCACCTCGCGATACTGGGATTCTGCTTGCAAGAAAACCATCACCAGAGGCAGCTGCTGCAGCTGGGCTCATGAAGACTTCTCTCTTCGTGGATCTGCACACCTTTCCTGAGCGATCCCCCCGAGTGCATGCATTGGAAGCCGGGTCCACAAGGTGGGTGCGGCCAGACAGCGGGGAACCCTGAGAGGTGGGGTCTGCTGGGAGGCTGCGTTTGTCAGCTTTGCTGCGGCTGAGACGCGACACCAACACGGCCCACTTACAGGAAGAAGGGCTTCACCTGGCTCAGGGGCTTTGCTCCACGGTCAGCTGGGACCTGGCTTAGACCTAGATGTCCCCCCCCAAATTCTCCTGTGTGTAGAAGGTGACGGCTCAGGGGGCGCTGTGCTCATCAGTGGATCCATCACGGATGAGCTCCTGGTGAATGAGCTGTAGGAGGTGGGGCCTGGCTGGAGGAGGTCACTGGAGTGTGACCTGGAAGGGGGAGTTCTTGTCCCAGCCCCTCACTTCTCTCTCTGCTTCCTGGTCACCATGATGTGAGCATCTTTCCTCCTCCACTCCTGTCCACCATGATGCTCCTGCCTTGGAGCAGCCAACCATGGACTGAACCCTCTGAGACCATGGGAGCAGCCAACCATAGACTGAACCCCCTGAGACCACTGGAGCAGCTGACCATGGACTGAACCCCCTGAGACCACTGGAGCAGCCGACCATGGACTGAACCCTATCAACTATGAAAACCATGAGGCTCTCTCTCTCCTCTCTCCTGCCTTCTTTCTCTCTCTGTCTCTCTCTCCCCTCTCTCCCTTTTTCTCTTCTTCCTGGCCACCCTGACGTCAGCATCTCTCTTCCTCCATACCCATCTGCCATGATGCTTCTACCTTGGAGCAGCTAACCATGGACTGAATCCTCTGAGACCATGAAAATCATGATCCTTCTCTTCTCTTCTCTTCTCGTCTCTTCTCTTCCTCTCCCCCTCCCTCCCTCCCTTCCCCTCATTCCAGGCCACCATGATGTGAGCATCTTTCCTCCCCCAAGCCTGTCCACCATCTTGTTCCTGCCTTGGAGCAGCCGACCATGGACTGAACCCTCTGAAACTGTGAGCCAAAAATGCATCTCTCTTCCTTTGCATTGTAGCTCCCGAGTATTGTGTCCCGGTGCCTACAATGACTCGTAGGTGACCAACACAGCCGGCTGCAAGCCAGAGCCATCATGACAGAAGGCCATGGCGGAGCAAGCAAGCTCAGCGTGACCTTCCACAGGCACCCCCTCCCCTCCTCACCCAGACCCACCTCCAACAGCACCCTGGGCGGGAGCGTTACTGGACCGACCCACAGACGTGGACAGCACCGCTCTGAGCCAGTCACCTGCCCAGTAGCCTGCAAACCCTCCCAAGCTGACAGCTGGGATTCAGGGGCCCAAGGACCTGGAAACCATCAGGGCCACTGCCCCGTGCACCTCAGAATCAACAGCTGCGTCACCCCCAAGTTGGGGACCCCAAGGCATGAAAGGAGAGGTTTTGTGCAAAGCCTCCTGCAAAGGACTCTGACCTCCGTGGTTATTATTTTCCGGCTGCGGGCGTGGCTGCGGCTTTAGCCGTGGGTAGATACCTGTCAGGGAACAAAACAAGGATTTCAGCAAGAGAATGACATCATTCAGCAATGAGCCAGCTGTACAAGAAAACACACACGTGCACGTGCACACACACACACACACACGAGACACTGCCGCCTAGGGATGCCCTATAATTCCCAGCCTACCGTAGACCCCCAAAATCACACACCTAAAATTCGCATTAATGCCTCAAACCACAAAGCTGAAAAGAAACTCTCACTTTGATGTGCTCAATCCATCTGCCTGGTTCTCGTCACCCAAAACCAACCCCCCCCAAATCTACCAATTCCTGACATCAATAGGGCAGATATCCAGCGGGTGACATTACAGCTTCTGGGGAAATTAAAATTTCCAGGACTATTGACAAAGTGCGGCTGGCAAGCATAGGATGGGCACATCTTTCCTTCATTTTCTTCTTTTAATTTATTTTAGTGTGCGTTTGTGATGCGCAACACATTCATCACGGGGAGTTGATACACATACACATCGCATCATAACCCTTTTAGTCTTCTCTTCTCATTTCCAGAAGACCCGTCTCCCTACTTCCTATCATCTTTTATTTTGCTTTTTATTTCTACTTTGGGTCTCTCATATAAGAGAAAGTATGTGATACTGAAGCTCGTGCGCCTGATTTATTTCACTTAACATTATGGTCTCGGGGTGCAGCCATTTTCCTACAGATGACTCAAGTTCATCCTTCTTCGTGGCAGAGTAGTACTCCACTGGGTAAACACTACGCTTTCTTTGTCCATTCACCTGCTGATGGACACAGAGGCTGCTTCCAAGACGCAGCTGTGGTGAGTTGTGCTGCTGTATACACGGGTGTGCGTGGATCCCTGTGATATGAGGCCATGTTTCCTTGGGATGCTGTGCTATACCTGCTGCCTAGGGTTTTTCAAACTTCTGTGGCAATGCCCTGAACTCATGGGCCCCACAGCAGCCTCCCCACCATGCCTGGCTTAACGTGACTTGCTTGTAAACGTGAGGAAGACTGCAGTGAGCTCTGAACTCTTAAGGCCAGAAGGAGGCACCAGGAAGCCGCCTGAGCCTTCTGGACTTAGCTTCCTTCTCCCTGCACTCGCTGCCTGGCCACATTTTCAGTTTCTCGGCTTGGCCGACGGATCGAGGCTTTGCTGCTATAATTCCCAGCCTGCTTTTACAGAAACAGACGTTTTTATGTCTATTTCTGTGTGCTGCATAGCATTCATTGGCAAGTGTGTGATCCATCTGCAGCATGTACCTCTCTCTGTCCGCCTCTGGGGTGGGAAATAGAGCCGCGAACACAAGAAACCACACTCCGTAGACAAGGGTTTGGTTCTGTTGCTTTTCGGTCCTGGGGATCAAATCCAGGGGCTTTGCACTGAGCTACACCCCCGGCCCTGTTTTAGGTTGATTTGTTTTTCATTTCGAGTCAGGGTCTGGCTCAGTTGCTGAGTCCACCAACAGATGAATGGATGAAGAGAGTGTGGTATTTGTGCACCGTGGAGCACTACTCTGTCATGAAGAAGGATAAAGTGGAGCCACGTGTAGGCAAACGGAAGCCTGGTGCTGCTGGGGTCCCTGTGAAGAGCGTGGCCTTTCTTTGCTTCTTTCCTTCCTTCTTTCCTTTCCTTTCTTTTCCTCCTTCCTTCCTTTCTTTCCTTTCCTTTGCTTTCATTTTCTTTTTTCCTTCCTTTTCGTTTCTTTTTCTTCCTTTCATTTCTTTGCTTCCCTCCCCTTTCCCTTCCTTTCCTTCCTTACTTCTTTCTTTTCCTTCCTTTTCCTTCCTTCCTCTCCATTCCATCCTTCCCTCCACCCCTCCTTCCTCCTGCCACCTTCCCCCTCCCCAGCTCTGCACGTTCACCCCCAGCCTGACCCTCAGCTGCCCCGTGACCCTTTTTATTGCTTTTCGTGACAGAGCGTCTCACGGAGCCCCCCACGCCGCCCGTGAACTTGATGTCCTCCTGCCTCAGCCTCCCCGAGGGTGGGGGTGACAGGCAGCGAGGCCCCACCCAGCACACTGGGATCCTTACCTCCGCCGTGGCCGGGGCTCTCGGGCTGCGGGTAAGGAGGCTTTGGCCGCGGGTGCCCATCTGCGGGGGAGACGACACTAGGTTATTCGACCTCAGAATCTGATTCTTCTGCCGGCAGCTGGAAAACGAGCTCCTGCGGACCAAGGATTTTACCTCTGCTTCCCGGGGTGGAGCCGGGGCGTGCTGATGACCAGTGTCGGCCTAAAACCGCTCAGCGCCAGAGCAGCTAGAGAGAGCCCTGCACACCCCACTTTGTCGTGCTGCCAAGGAGGATCCATTCGACCCAGCGATTCCCCTCCAAGGCTCTTCCCAAAAGAGTTAAAGCCCTCGTAACACAGTGCTCCACGCACACCCGTGTTTCCAGCAGCACAATTCACGACAGCTGCACCTCGGAAGCGGCCTCTGTGTCCATCAGCAGATGAATGGATAAAGGAAAGGTGGTGCTTCCACGCGGTGGAGTACTACACGGCCACGAAGAAGGATAAACTCGAGTCATTTGTAAATAACGGATGCACCTTGCGACCACGATGTTAGGTGAAGTAAATCAGACGCACACAGTTCCGTATCACACGGTTTCTCTTGTATGAGAAACCCCAAATATAAATACAGAGCAAAATAAATGACAGAGATAGACCTTGGGCAGATGATAGGGCCCGATGGCGGGGGGGGGGGGTGGAGGGCGTGCAGACAAAGGGATGTAAAAAGGACCCCGCTGTGATGCGTCTGTGTGCCAACTCCCCACAGTGAACCAATCTTTACGTAGCAGAAAGCTATACCCATAAACATATGTGACTGTGTCCCACCAAAAGCAGAAAACGGAAAATGATGTACTTTCTCCCACACTGGCACCTAAGAGAGATAAACGAAGCAAGCTTCTAAACGAAAGAGAGGAGAGAAAAGTAGGAAGGAAGTCCTGGAGAAGAGGCAGAGGCGGGGGAAGATCAGGTCTCGCTTTGTAGCCCAGGGTGGCCTGGAACGCGAGGAGATCCTCCTGCCTCAGCCTCCCGAGTGCTGGGATGCCAGGTGTAAACAGACAGGAAAGAGAGAGGCGGATACGCTTGGCCTGAGTGGCTGCGTGTGCTCGGTTTACCCTCGGCTTGTTCGCGGGACCCGCATCTCCCTTTAGAGTCACTGTGTTGGTTGGGTTATTATTCTTCATAATATTGAAACCCCCAAGGGCTGTGGATGATGCCTACTGCACTCTACGAATGTACATTTATTCTTAAAATACTAATAATATTTTCTTAGTAATACTTTATTCTTACTATTTTCTTTACTCTTAATAGTATTTCCATCTTTTATGTTTTATTATATATTATTTTATATATATATATTAGGATTCCTTATCATAGTCTTGTTTTTTTGGTACCGGGGATCGAACTCTGGACCTTGCGCTTGCAAGGCAGGTGCCAGAACCACTGAGCTAAATCCCCGGCTAATTCTTCTCATTTTTAATATTCTTAGGAATGCTGTTTATTCTTAATATTTGCATCTTTGTTCTTAAAAGTTTATTATTCTTTATCATATTCTTAATACTGTCATTCTCAATATTTTAAATACTTTTTAGTAACACTCTTTATTCTTAATATTTTCTTTAGTTTTAATACTTTCACCTTCATTCTTAATATTTTTATTCTCTATTCTTTAACAGTCTTACTATTTTTATTCTTAATTTTTTCTTACTATTTTAATTATTATTTTCATAATATTTATTTTTAATATTTTCTCAGTTCTTAATATCTATTCTTAATCTCTCAAAATATTTATTCCTTATTCTTATTGTTCACTTAATTCTTAATATTTATTCTTGGTTTGGGGGGGCTTTTTTGGTACCGGGGATCGAACTCGGGTCCTTGTGCTTGCGCAGCAGGTGGCGAAACCACTGAGCTAAATCCCCGGCCTTAATATTTATTCTTAATATAATTTTCTTAATAATATTCATTCTTTATTCTCAATAGTTTCTGAATTTTTAATATCATTTATTCTTCACATTTTCTTAGTAATTTCTGTTCTTTATTCTAATACTTTTATGATATATAAATTATATAAAATATAAATTATATTTATCCTTAACATTTTCTTAATATTTATTCTTTCTGCTCCATAACATTTCTATCATCCAGACCAATAGATCTCTGCTCTCAATTCCTAATAATATTACTGACATGAACAGGAAATATTCGTACTTTCTGAATAGCGTTTCATAATCTCATCGGTGCCGAAACCCAGTAGTTCTGCAGAGAAAGACTTTTTTGAACATCCCGTGATTGGATTTTGCAATTCTCGCTCTCCTCCACGAGGAAACTGAGCGTGACCCAGCGCACACGTGCACGATGCTCGCAAAACACAGAGATGGAAAAACATTGTCTCTTCTCCCTAAACATCGAGGCTAACGGTGGTGCCATCGCTGTGTCATGCGGGAAGCCGCCCTTGCTGGGTCCCAAAGCAACTCCCTCTCCGTGGATCTTGTTTTGTTCTGTTCTTGACACAGGGTCTCCTTATAGAGCCCAGGCTGGCTTTGAACTCATGGCGATCCTCCTGCCTCAGCCTCCCAGAGTTCTGGGATGGCACCACCACACCCAGCTGCTCAATGTCTATCTTTTCAGAATATTTGAGTTTACACAAATACCAAATTCCACCAATGTCGGATTACTCGACCTCACTTTCCCTCTTCACGTGATCCCTGCTGCCTCATGTTTAATTAAGGAATTTAATCCCAAATGGCTGACACTCCTTAGATTTTTAAAAATCAGTATTTTTTGTGAAGCAGGGCATAGTAGCAGTGCATGCCTATAATCCCAGCACTTGGGAGGCTGAGGCAGGAGGACCGCCATGAATTCGAGGCCAGCCTGGGCTGCATAGAGAATTATATTATTTTTTGTGGCATCAGGGATCCAACCCAGGGCTTTGAGCATGCCAGGAAAGCACAAATTGTCAAGTTTCGCCAACATATTCCTTCAAGCCTTGAGCTACGCACACTGAGCCTAGGCAGGAGAATCCCTTTGTCCCGAAGGACGAACATTCCCCAGCCACCAAGGACTGCAGAGATTTCTCCTGGAAACATCTCAGCCACCTCGCTCTGCCTGAACAGTGACCTGCACTTCCCACCTTTGCCCAGCAGCCCAGGTTCGAGTCATGACACGTAAACGTCCTCGCTCCCTGTCCGTCCTGGCCACCTCCAACTGACACGGTGGGCCTCGGACAGTCCAGGGTGTCTATGTATTTATTGTTCCATTTAACTTGCAAAGAGCAAATGCGCCCCCTCCCTCCTGGTGAGCCCCAGGGTGACAAGTTTGGGACCAGAGCCCAGCAGAAAGCCGCACCCCGAAGAACTCACCCTCATCTCCCATGTTCAGCCAAGCCTCGGCAAAGACACTTCCCTGTGTCACGGCAGCGAAGCTTCACACACAGCCAAGATGTTATCAACCGTCACTGTCCTGAGTCATTTTAGAGCTCAAGACACCCCGGATTTGGCCCTGCGGGACCCCTCCACCCACCTCCACCTCCTCTGGATTCTGGATGACGCCCTCCTGACCATGCGCCTCTATCTCTTGGTTGTGTTTCCATTTGAGAAAGATCTGTCTGCCTACTTCCTGTCATCTATCTCTTATTTTGCTCATTAATTACACGTTAGGTTTCTCTTATAAGAGAAACTAGGTGATACTGAAGCTCCTGTGTCTGGTTTATTTCACTTAACTTCGTGGTCTCAAGGTGCATCCATTTTCCTACACGTGACTCAAGCCTATCCTTCTTCGTGGCAGTATAGTACTCCATTGTGTGTCAACACATTTCCTTTATCCACTCATCTGCAGATGGACACAGAGGCTGCTTCCAAGATTCAGCTATTGTGAGTTGTGCTGCCGTACACACGGATGTGCACGGCTCACAGCCCTATGTGGTTACCTTTCATTTAAAAACAGAATGAGGGCCAGCGATTTAGCCCAGTGGTTTCGCCACCTGCTGCCCAAGTACAAAGACCCAAGTTTGATCCCCGGTACCAAAAATAAAAAATAAAAATAAAAAAATAATAGAAATAAAAACAGAATGAACTGGGGTGAAACCCACATAACTTAATATTAAAACAAACCCAATTTTAAGCAAATAATTGACAAGGTTGTGTGACCATCACTTCTATCTACTCCCAGAACATTCACACCACGTCAGAAGGAGACGCTGCACCCCACAGCCCTCAGGCCCCATTCCCATTCCCAGCCCTGGCAGCCGCTAATCTGCTTTCTATCTCTGTGGATCGGCCTGCTCTGGACATTTGATATCAGTAGAATCACACACCCTGTGTCCTTTTCAATCTGGTTTCTCGACTGTCAAGAACCTAACTTTCATCCATGTTGTAGCAGGTCCCGATAAGGAGTCGTTTCTTTTTCAGGGCTACGTAATATTCCACCCACCGCATGGGTGGTCCATTTGTGCATGCTTTCACCCACCATTGGCCACTCAGGTTGTTCTCACCTTGTGGCCTTAATGAACACAAGTACTGCTGGAAGCATGCATGTGCAAGTTTTCTTTGAACACTTGTATTCAATCCTTGGGTGTATACACCCGGGATTGGAACTGGGCTATCGTATAGTCAATCTGCAATCATACGGTCAACCTGTTTTATTTTTCTGATGGTCCACCAACTCCCTTTCCACAGCACCATTGTGACTTCCACCAGCAACAGACGTGAGGTGCTACACAGCCCCAGTGACGCCTGCTAACCAGCCCGTTCCTAGCCCTCTGTGATGCACTCCTCAAACAAAAAACAGGCACAACCAACCCTTCAAAGACATCAGGGCCGGGAGGTGCCTCACAGGTACTCAGCCCAAAGTCACTCACCCGAGCTTGGCTTCTTTGTGGGTTCTGTGGAGAGAGAGAGAGAGAAAAAAACAAATCCGACAAGTGCCAAAGACTCCAATAAATGCTACTGATTTCAGAATGAAAAGAAAATGACTACTGAACAATACGAAGACGATTGGATAAAGAGAGTGGGTTCTCTATATGCAGTGGAGTATTATGCAGCCCCAAAGAAGGAAGATTTTTCATTTACACTGAAATGAACATCCTGAGGATGAAATAAGCCAGACTCCGAAAGACAAGTATTGCTCTTCCTAGTATGTGGAATTTTTTTTAAAAGGTGACAAGAAAGTAGGAGGGAGATAATGACTACACAAGAACAAGGGAATCAGGGTGAGGGAGAGGGTGTGTAACGGTGGGTAACACAGGGCTCAACAGGATAAAAATATATGCACTGAAACCCCCCAAAATGTGAGATGTGGACCATGGGGCAATGTGGGCCCTATGGTTTAGATCTAGATGTCCCTGAAAGTCTTCTGTGTCCAGAGCTGGGCTTTCGCAAGGTGACTGGCTCATGGGGTGCTGTGCTCATCAGTGGATCATCATGGAGGAGCTCCTGGTGAATGAGCTGTAGGAGGTGGGGCCTGGCTGGAGGAGCTCACTGGGGTGTGACCTGGAAGGGTGAGTTCTTGTCCCAGCTCCTCCCTTCTCTCTCTGCTTCCAGGTCACCATGATATGAGCGTCTTTCCTCCCCTACATCTGTCCACCATGATGCTCCTGCCTTGGAGCAGCTGAGCATGGACTGAACCCTCTGAGACCACTGGAGCAGCCAACCATGGACCGAACCCACAGAGATCATGAGCCAAATTAAACCTCTTCTTCTTTAAGTTCTTAATGTTGAATATTTTGTGCCAGCAACAAAAAAAAAGTAGCTAAGAAATGGGGTAATGTGGGTGTGTGGGAGCAATGAACAAAGGGTTCTGTGCATGTTCAAATCTGCCAAGATGAAATCCATCAATGTGTATCCCAAACAGGACGACTCACAGACCTCAAGTGTTCAGGTCCATGGCGCACTGCAAGAGCCACGCAGCGGTTTGAGAAGAAATAAAGGTTCCTGGCCCAGCTTCCAGAATGATGCTCTCTGTCTCTGTCTCCATGAGTGAATCACGTATTCACTCAGCAAACACGAACTGAACATCAAGTTACCAGGGGGGCATCCATGACCTCACCAGAAACTGTGCTAGGGTGAGGACAGAATTCACGGTCGCGGGTATCAGGAGGGGAGTGATCAAGTTGCATCCCTGATCAGTGACCTGGGTGAGGGCCCAAGGGACAAAGGAGAAGGCGGGATTAAGGGGTGGGAAGAAGGCGGCCCCCAGGAAGTGGAGTCTGAGCAGACGGGAGCCTCCCAGGCTCCGATGGCCTAGTCCTCCCGAGGAGGAGGGCGGCATGGACAGCTCGGTTTCCAGGACAGCCAGGCACTGGCTTGGGAGTGAGCGGTGTAGCACAGGAGGTGGGTAAAGGGCAGTGGAGTTTGCATAGGAGTTCGGGGGCTGCTAAAGGAAGAGGCCAGGCAGGGCAGATGGTGGGGGTTCCCCACATCCCTCTCACTTCACTTCCTTCTTCCTGCTTTTTCTCTGCTTCCTTTGGGCTTCCCAGCTGACCTATGTCTCTCCTTCCCTCCTTTCTCTCTTCTTTCCTTCCTTTGTATTTTCTTTCTTCTTTCCTTCTTTATTTCTTACTTTTTTCTTCTTTCCTTTCTTTCTTCCTTCGTGTTTTCTTTCTTTTTCCTTCCTCTTTTCTGTCTTCCTTCCTTTATTTTTGTTTTCTTCTTCCCTTCCCCCCATTTTCCAGGAAGGAAGCCGATCATGGGCTTTCTGGTCGACCCCAAACTTCACAGCACCCTGGTAAAAACCCAGATATGGGCTCACCTGGGGACCTCGGCACAAAACACCCTGCCCTGTGAACAGAGGTGACTGGGGCTGACAACTGACAGTGGGGGAAAGAGAAGCATCCTGGACCTCAAGCTGGCAACCTGGGCCCCACCAAGCAGTGAGTCGACACCAGTGAGACCTGGATACCAGGGGATTCCCTACATCTGCCCGGCCCACCCCCGAAGGCACTGTGCAGTTGCTCTGATTTGTGCCGGTGCTGTCCTCGACCTGAGTCACTCACCGGGGTCATCCAGGGCGTCGGCCAAGTCAAAGTCCCTTTGACCTGTGGAGAACAAAATTCACAGCTTGAGTGAAGGGAGAAGGGAACAGGAGTGAAGGGTCCTTGTCCTGCTGTCATGGAGACCCTCTGGGGACGAAGAGAAACCCCAGCCCCAGACCCCAGCCAGGATTGAGCTTTTATAGCACATGGGAGTCCCTCACAAAGAGATGACAGCAGAAACCCCCACCCACGGTGCACCCAGGAGTAGGAAGAGGAGGAGGAGGAGATGGAGGAGGAGATGGGGTAGGAACACGGATCTTCCTCCCAGATGAACTGTGACCAGCTACCAAGCCAAACCTATGCAAGTAACCAACTGCACACCAAATGTATTTCAAGAAAGAGTTTGCAACTATACCGAAGATGTGTAAATTGTTTTATTCTTGCCATCATTCCCTAAATAGTACAACTATTTACACAACATTAGCAACTTATGAGGTATTATACCAGGTATAGTGAAAAACTGTGATGAATGTTTAAAGTTAAAAATATATTACAGTAAAGGCCACCTGGTCACAAATCCCCCTCAGATCCTCCCCAGCTGTGCACACCCTCCTCCCGCCGTCCTGGCCGCTGTCCACAGCAGCTCTGGAGTCCTCTTTCCTGAGGGTCTTTAGCTGCGCCGTCCTGGCTGCCTCGATGTCCCGAGTGGACTCAAAACAGTGACCTTTCCCTGTCATCCTGACCTTGGGGAGGAGCCAGGAGTCGCCCGGTGCCAGCTGCAGTGACTCGGGTGGAGGAGGACACAGGGCCGTGTGTTCCCGAGCTGCCTTTCCGCTGGACAGCGCCCGGCAGAGCAGTCACGGTGTTTGTGACCACACCCGGTGAAGCCCTCAGGAAAGAGGACTCCAGAGCTGCTGCGGGACGCGGCCAGGACGGTGGGAGGAGGGTGCTCAAAGACAGGGGAGGATGTTGCAGGGTTTTTTACACTGGCCCCGTTTTTGCTTTTTACTGTGAAGCAAGGTCTCAAGCCCAGACTGGGCTCATACTTGAGATTCTCCTGGCTCAGCCTCCCTAAGTGCTGGGATTCCACAGATTGTGTTGTATGAGAAAAGGCCCTGAGACTCATCTCCTGAGGCTACCTAGGGATGACTACCCCAGGCCAGGTGTGGAGCAGGCAGCCCCTCTGGGCCGATTCCCGCCACCCGTGTCCCCAGGTGCTCAGTCCTCCCCCCCCTCCCATCCCCCAGGACGTTGGCATTGCTAACACACCCATTTCCCGGGTGCAGAAACCGAGGCTCTGGGGTTTCAGGGCAGAATCTGCAGAGGGATTTTGGGACAGTGTCTCGCTCAGCTCCACTGAAGGTGTTGCATGGCCCCTAGGCCGGATCATCAGAGTAAGGACAGAGCCAGACTCGGTGTGGCCAGGTCTACTGCAGGCTGGAAACGGGTGGTGCCATCGTGGATCCCATCTCAACCAGCCCTTTCTCTCAAGCTCTGGATGCCCTCAGCTCTCCTGTGTGGCCCTGTGCTGTCCTAGGAGCTTGTCCCCCCGAAGAGCAAACCGGCCCCTTTCTGCTCTTTGCAGCTCTCCGGCCACCTGCACTGTTCCCTAGGAGCTGCTGCCCTGGAAGTGACGTCACTTCCGGAAGGCCAGGTCGTGCACAGGTATATTCAGGCACACTCCACCCCAGCAGGGCCACACCCAGGTGGTCACTGCCTGCAGAGATCCAAGTGAAGGCCTCATCCTTCATTCTTGGCTCGTAATCATTTTTTCGGAGCTGAAACGCTGCAGTTAAGTTTTAACCAAATCACGTCTCCTGGCTTCTGTAGCCTTCCCCTATACCTTTCCTGAACAAGATCTTAAGGATGAAATCGAAGATAAAAATTCTTTTTTGGAGGTCTCAAACAGGAAGCCATTGGTCATCACCACAAACTGCCTGGGGAATCTACCGACCCTCCCACCCCGTAAACAATCTAGCTCAGAAATCCTAAAGCCACCATTTCACTTTAAAAAAAAAATAAAAGTGAGGAGAGTCGTTTGGAATACGATCCTTACAAAACGGGAAGCCATGATGGCTTTAATGCTTTCCGAATTTAATTTCCTTACATTCGGATTTAGGAGATAGATTTTACTCAGCGCCTAAGTTAACCCTAACCTCGGATTTTTTTCACAGTATTGTGTTAAGATTGCCCTTGGAGACCTCATTCCTTTCTAGGGACCCTGAGCAGCAGGAGGACAGAATGAATGTGAATCGCTTTTCCTTGGAGATCTTCATGGCAAAGCTGATGTGAATTTATATCTTCATATCTTTATCTTTTATATCTTTCGTATCTTCCTAAGCAGCAGAACCAAGTCCTGCTCTAGGCGCTCAAAGGTTGCCAGCCCCAGAAACCTGTTGCATCATCTGTATCTTCCTTCCGTGACTTCCCCTCAACCATGCTTTGGTCCCATCAGTGTGGGAAATAAAACTACCAATACCCAAGGGAAATAACAATTAGAAAAACAAATCAGAAAAAAACTTCAGGCGAGTGGTGATCTTCCCTCCCCCGTTTACCCCCCTTCCAGGTGGTGGATAGGGCTTCTGAGCTGACCCCCAGGCCTGCAGCAGGAAGCCCACTGAGCTAGGAGGCCAGACGAGGGACTAGCTCAGGAAGGGCTGGGGCCGGGTCTCCCCCACCAGGAAGGCGCATTCACGGTGTAGCAAAACAGCTGGCCCTCACGAAATAGAGAATCTGTTTATTTACTACTAGATATGATTGTACAGGAATCACCATTCCTGACAATGGATCTTTTGGAATCTTGTTTTCCTTATGTGTTGCTGAGAAATGCATACCATGCTGTCTACAAACAAAGTGTTACATCTTCTGCATAGAATATCTGCTAATTCAAGACAAGCACGCATTTTTGTTGCCTCGGTTTTATCTGTAAACTGTGGAACTATTTTACCTTAAGGCCTGAAAAACAATTTTGTGGATTATAAATTTCTTTCATATGGTTGTATTTTCTTATCATTGGTTTCTTAATATGGTTGTACTACAACGTACTTGGTTGATTTAGGTTGCACATTCACTGAATTCACTGAAATTATTCCTATAATTTTAGAGTTTCATTTGAAAACATGTTTTTGATATTTGATGATGAAAAACGTTGCCTGTTTATTTCTGATGCCTGTTTATTTCTGAAACAACTGTATTTAGTGATTATTTTAGATAGTGATATAGCATTCATCTGTGTGTAAATTATTTCATACAGGGAAGAGTTCTGATCTGTACCTATGATTCTTACTGAAAACAAAATTGGATGTGCATTTCTGTGATGTTATGAATACATTTCTACTTTATTTTGAAACATTTGCCAAACTAAATAACACTGTATAACATTAAAAATGTTAAAGACTGCTTGGTGCTAGAAGCAGAACATGTCCTGAAATTGTAACGGCAGCATATGTTGTTGCTTGTATAAAGCTTAGTGATAATTTTTAGACTAACATCCATGGTGCCCTGTTGGCATTAGCACTACCATTGTATCCTGCAGTATAATAAACAGTCTTAGACATTTATCAACTGTTGATACAAATTTTTGTCCCTAATCACTTTTTATATGTTTTAAATTTTTGAAATTCAAGTGTACCTGCCATAACATAAAATAAACACTAGACTATATCACAAAAAACAAAACAAAACAAAAACAGCTGGCCTTTACTCAGTGTACGTCAGACCTCGACTCTCTCATTAGTCTTCTGATAAACCTCAGCCAGATCAAGTGTTTTTAAGGCCTCCACACAGGAAGTGGCATCAGCTTCCTGAATTCTTGTGCATGTGCCAAATCAAGCCTCGCTCCATCATGCACAAAGCTTGCGAATATGAATTCCACTCCCCCTTCGCATGCACTCTGCAAACAACCTTCCCAGTGACACTACACCCTAGCTCACTCCAGCGATGTTGGGCATCTCTTTAAACAACCTCTCCCCCGTGCCTGGCAGGAAGTTACCTGGTCAGTGCCCCATATAACCAAAGCCCTCTGCTGCCTGTGTCCTTCTGGCTGCTCTGAATGCCAGTGCACAGCCTGGCTTGGGAGGAGCTGGGTGTGGTCAGGAAAGATGGGGGGACCCCTCTGGGCGTGTCCAACATGGGGCAGGAATCCAGACAGCCGGCTTCCATGCAGCAGGACAAGGGGTAGAGGCAGACAGTGCAGCCCCAAGCTGCTTTGCCGCTAAGTCCTAAGTCCTAAGTACTTCTGAGCCATCCTGTGCCCCTCGTTTGGGGGTTTTGTTTGCTTTTTGAAGTACTGGGGGTGGAACCTCCACTTCTCGCACCAACCTGCACCCCCAGTAACCTTCACTGCTACCTTCACGAAGGGTCTTGCTAAGTTGCCAAGTGGCCCGGGCTGGCTTGTTCCTTGCAGTCTCCCTGCCTCAGCCTCCAGACTACGACAGGCACAGGCCACCACCTTTGGCCCTGATTTCCATTTTTAGCAACGCTGCAGCTTTGAACTGCTCGGGGAGACCCTGGAGGGGTGACGGGAATGAAAAGGGGGCGGACTCCGACAGATGGCCGGGTGGTTCAGGGTGTGCGCGGTTTCATGAGTTGCACGTGAGGGTGTGAGTCACAGGCGTGGGGCGGGGTGGGTCTCGGGTTACACAAACCCCGGGGGTGGACGGCAGCCAGGACATGCCGCCCAGGATTGCAACAGCCTTTCTCATCCTGCAGAGAGGAGGGAATTTGCTCTGGGCTGAGGGGCCCCATTTGGAAGCCAGCCCATCGTTGCCAGGATTCCAGCAAAGAATGCTAACTCCCGGGGGCCAGGGGCTCAGGCAGGGGGCGCCCGGCTGCTCGGGAGGTAATTGCTTCCCTTGCACTGTTTTCCACACTGGGCAGGCGATGACTGGAACACAAGCCAGTTGCTCATCTGCTTTCCTTTGGCTTGGCAAGCTCTGCAGGGCTCCTCATCAGGGCCCTCATTTTTCCAAGATCCCCAAATCTCCGGACGACAGAAAGCAAACCTCGAATTCTTGCAGGGCCCCGGGGAGCTGGGTTTAAACTGCTTCCGGCTGGTGGGCGGG